TTAAGTGTGCCTGTTGGAAGAGAAATCATGCTTTAGTAGTTAAGACAAGCAAACACAATGTCTATTCTAATTCACCAAGTTAATTGAAAAGTTGTGTTTCCAAGTGGATTAGTCCCTTCAACCTCTCTTTTGTCTTTTTTCTTTTTTTTTTTTTTAGTTCCCTTTTCCATTCAGGGAATAAATGTGCATGGACTAATCTAGGGATGAAAACTCATTAATACAACTGCTTCCACATTGCCAAATGCTTGGAAAGAAGCAGGGAGGGCACTGATCCCATAGATAATTCACAGCCTGGGACAAAAATTTGGCTCAAAAATGTTGAGCCAAATTGTGTCCATCCAAGTGCAGAGCTGTGGTCTGTGCATCCTTATTTTCTCTCTGTAATGCTAGTGTAATTGCATGCTTCAGTGTTCAAGGGCACATTGGAGTGGCTTTTCTTAGCTAGTGGTTGCAGCTTCTAAAATGTACCTGTGGGGGGTGGTTATGAGGATCCATTGTGCAACCTCTGCTGATAATCTCAGCAAGGAACTGCAGGATCCTGGCTTTAGGATTCAAAGCACACACTGGAGGGACTAGAAGGGTGAATTCGAGGGACTTACTGTGGATAAAAGCACATTCCTGCTGTTATTGTTTCAGTCCTCAAAGAAACTGAATGGGGTGGGTAAGTCAGCAGGCAGAATTAGCACCTCCTCTCCCCTGGTGAGATACATGGTGCAGTCACACAGGCGTGCTTTGCCTGATGCAAAGATCTTCAATAGGGGTCTGTCACTGATAACCATTATCGTATAAAATCATTACCTTGCACCTCAGAAGTGAGAACTGCAAAGGCTAATGAGCTAATTCTCTGGGTCCACCACCTCCATCTCACAGGAAGCTGAGTGTCCTTCATTATGTTCTTCTCTGGGTGAAGTGGTGGGAAGTCCCCAACATACATCTGCCACGTAAGGAATTCTGTTCCCTTGGCTGTGTTTGCAGCAGGCATCAAACCAAAAGCACCTTCCTGCTATTTCCAGCTGTTGCACTTCCAGTTTGTGGGAATTTCCTACAGGTAGCTTTTTGGCTCAAAGAGCTGTTTTACTGAAGCTGTGCTAGCCCTCAGGAATTTTGTTTGGGTTTTCTGAAGATCCATCTCTCCTTCTTAGAAGAAAGAAGATTTTAAATAAGTGTTTTCCCTGCACCAGCAGGAGGGTAGGGCTATAATAAGACCATGTGGGAGAGATCCAAAGGTGTCATCTAATATTTAGACACCTTGAAGAAGTGTACTGGTGGATTCTCCTTTGACTTATCACAGTTGTGCCTGAAGTACCCAAGGGTTCTAAGAAATCTTTGCAGCACAGCTGTAAATAGCAGCTCCAAGTCACAGACACACAAACCATGTCTGAAGAGTTGAAACTACTTCCTGTTTTGGTATGGAAGTGTGTCCCCCACTATAAATCCTTGTGGCTAAAGCTAAACAGACACCCAATGAGTAAAATTAAATCAAAAGTTTTCATTTGTGAGCTATGAAGTAAAAATAAAGAACCCAGGCCCCAGAGACATATGACGGTTCTGGATAGGTATTGTTTAACAAGGGGTAGAACTTCAATCCATTTCAGACACACTTTAAAGTGGATCTTCAGACACAAGAACTTCTAATCAATTTTCAGCATAGAATGACTGTGTCCATCTCACAGCACTGATTTTTACACAAAGTAAAACAGAAGCTTGAGAGCAACACTCCTGTAAAGCCACATACATCTTTATTCTCCACCCAGGCCAGCAAGGATGGGAAAAGGGAATGCAATTAAAAATAACAATCAGCAAACAGTATCTTTAATTAAAAAACATCCAGACTAGAGCAGCCAGAAACACACTCGACAATCAGAAAAACTGGAATTCTCTGCAGTCTGACAGTGGCACATAAGCAGAAATTACTTGTTTCTGAAAGCAGGGTAGAACAAGACAAAAACTTGTGCTTTTTTCTATTACAACAATTTATAATTATTATATATTTTGCAACAGGCAAACTGCTACAGCGGATAGTGGGCAAGAGAGAAAGATATCCAGTTGTTTAGAGAAAAGTCTGAGTTAAACTTTTACAAATAGCACCAAAACTAACCCCAAGCACCAGAACTAAACCCAAGCTTAAAATAGCCCCCACCAAAATCAATGACGGAATGCCTTGAATTTAGCAGGAGCCAATGAAAGCTTAGTTAAGTGTAAAGAAGTAGAAAACACATGATGGATTGTCCCAGCAAATCCCCCAAAATGTGACCTCCAAACCCAGAAGCACAGCTGCCACTGCAGAGGGAGGGTACTATGATTTCTCTGATGCTCCTTTGTGTCTACGTAGCAGTAAGAGGCACAGATTTGGTTTTGTCTCCGCTCCAGAGGACTGTTAGCAATCCTGAAAGCAAATCCTGCAGCTCAGCAGACATTTCACATGGATGTATTCTGTAATGAGCTGGTATTTATCATTCAAGCCCTCTGTAAGCTGAAGGCTCTTTGTGCTACTGACCCCAGCCTTTCGTCTAGCCTTGAACAGCTGCTGTTTGGCAGTGACAGCTGAATTGGGTTTCTCCCTCTGCAGCAATGCACACTTGCCAGCTATCCTATCCCCAAACCTGTCTGCTGCATGTTGAGGCCAAGATACACAATCCACCCCTTTCATGCCAGCAGTGTCCCTTTAGGCAAAGCGTGAGAACACTTGCCAGTGGACCTTCTTTTTCCTTAATGCTTGTTAAGCACCACTTATTCCCATCCTCCAGCCATGTGGGAGCCTGCAATTTCCATGTGGAGCAGCATTAAGCAGAGTGGCTGCACTGGGTCACTACAGACTGCCAGCACTGGCATGGCTTATCCTCAGCATCTCCATTAATTCAGAGGCATATCAGCTTGCCTGATTGGAACAGGCCTGTGAAAGGCATTCTACTGCTTGACCTCTTTGAATCTCAATAAACTACCTTGACGTTGTCTCACAGATGGGGGTCTATTTTTTTTTTTTTTTTTTTTTTTGAAGTTGGTAATTGCTTTGAAAGACTTCACCAGTAAAAAATGACAGTAGGAAGCAACAAACACAGCCTGGCTCTACCTGTGCCCAGGGAGCACTACTGCTTTCCCACTTAAGTTTGGGGCCAAGATGCTGTTGATATTTGGCTTGTGCATTATTTACTGTTGAGCCCTCAGCCAGTGCTAAGAGGCTCCTTTGACCTCCCAAGGACAAGGATGCAGCAGGAACTACTTATTTCTCAGTGTCAGGACTAGAGGATCAGATGGACTTGTTTATACATCACCAGTTCCCAGATGCTCTAACCAGGACAGTCAGTGTAGTCTTGAGCTCAACCTTAAAATGCAACACAAAGCATTAGTTTCTGTGAAATCCAGCTTCTGAATGTTTCTTTTTACCATCCTAAAACTAGAGCAGTTCCCCCCGACAGGGAGACTGGGGAAGTGAGACACTACAGTGACAGGAGTGACTGTGCAGCTGACAGACTGCACGCCACGCTTACCTACCTACACACAAGGAAATGGTGGGCTCCTCTGGCTTGGGCCTCACAGACTTTCCAGCCCCACCAGCTGAACTGGAGCACTGAGAAAATTAACTGTGTTTCAAATGTGTTACTCAGTCCTCATTAGAATCTGCTATACCTCTCTTTTATTTTGTTCATCTCCTTCTTAGACCAAAACTCCAATACATGATCGAGAATAAAGAACTTTTCCGCTAGTCATTTTTTAAAGAGACAAAATTTCTCCAGCCTATGGTGGCCACCTCAGCCTGGTCAGGGAGCCCACTGTGATGCCACGAAAAATCCAAAAATGAGGGAAACCCATTACAAAAATGAGACATGAGAGGAGAAGAATGTATGATCCATTGCTCTTCCATATAAATAAACAGCAAGAGGGATGAGGTGGGGAAGACGAAACAGTTTTCTAGAGCTGAGGCACAGATAGACATGAACTTCTGGACTCCCCCAATTCTGAAAGGGGAGGTCCAACAGCTCTTCTGTAAGAGTAACTTAAAAACCAGAATAACTTGTTTCAGAGCCCTTCGCATCCCAAGCACCTTCAACTCCACCTCCCTAAATCCACGTGCTGCAAGTCCACACCTGCATTGCAGTGAGATATAAATGGATTGCCCCTCCTTAGGGGCAGGCACCTCCTTAGAGCAGGTGTTTCCTCCCTGTAATACAGCTGTTTGCACTGCACACTGTGTATGACTCCTGTAGATCGTTCCTCCCTAGCAGTGCACATATCAAGAGATCCACTGCAGATGTGTTCGAAGCAGCTATCTGAGCACCTGCAGCCACTTGAGGGTTCTTGGTGACAGCCCCATCAGGTTACACACGTTACAAAGCAAGCCCTGCTCTTCCATTGTGCGATGGGACTGTTTCAGGTCAGTGTAGAACTCACTCGCCTTTGTTGGCAGCTATGCTGTCCTCTCCCACTGTCCCAGCGGTCTGTGCCACTGGACTCTGACACTGTCTAAGCAGTCAGCCTGCCTAAGTTAGCTGCTCTGGTTGGAAGGACTGGGAAAGGACCCTTTCTAAGAAAACTGCAGGAACATCACACATTTTGCAATTTATTCTTCACCTCTGAATGGGTTCCTATCTCTTGAAGTTCATCCCCTGAGCAGAGACTTCTTTTCACTGTGTCATAGGTCACTACTATGTCCTATTGCTGAAAAGTAAAGTCTGCCTTGACAGAAGTGGACTTTTCATAATATGTCTCTGCTATTCCACAAACAGCCAGAGCCCTGCAGACCTGGATTTCCTTACGATTCCCAGAAGCTGTAATTAGCTACAACACAGGACAAATCCTTGGAAAGCCATGCACCTCTCCACCCAGAGCATGTGAAGCTAGCATTCTTGCATTCCGTGACATTTAAAGAGGACTCTCAGCCCAACATTTTATTCGTTAAGTTTGTGTTTAAATATATATGTATATTTTTAAAAAGAATCAGTGTATTATTTTCTAGGTGAGAACACTGGTGTATGACCAAAATAGTCATCCAGGACAAAGGCTCAGACTGCTGAGGTCTCAACCCCCTGCGCAGAGCTCTTGCCAGAGAGACTACCTGAGATATTGTCAGAATCAAGCAGCTCGACAATGCTGTATGGAGAACAATCTTCCAAGCCCAGCTTGCTGCAGAGCCAGCCACAGAATCCTTTCTCCATATCCCTGACAGCGTGCCACCAGTACCCAAAGGACCATGCTACCTGGGCTACAGCTGAATACAGGCCTAGGGAGAAAGAAACAACCATAATTATAATTGGGTAGGAGATAATCAAAAAGGGACAAAAGGTGATTTTGTGCCAGAAGGTCCTCTCTTCATTGTACACCAAGAAGATGTTGTACCATGTAATGGTTCCATAGTAGAATGAAACCACGAAGGACACTACAAAAATGATGGGGAGGCAGATGATGGTCCAGAGGACGATGTGAGGTCCTCTGTCTAACCCAACATCACATTTCTTCTTTTTCTCAGGTACATCTTCTTTAGGAGGTTCCTTTGACTTAGCCAGTTCCTGCAGCTCTTTATCCGTTAGGGTGACGTGGATGTCCACCATCTGACCCTTCTTCTTTCCCCTGGTGATTGTTCCAGTCAAGGTGACATAGCGGCTGTCTAAAGGCATGTTCCAGACACCTACAACACAGATATACTCATCTACATCAGATTTATTTTCTGTACAAAGTATTTTGTATAAATCTTCAAAGACCCAAAGACAATTAGATAGTCCATAAGGAGTTACATGTAAAATCAAATTTAAAAAGATGGAAAACAAGAAGCAATGCAGTATGAAGAAAATTACCACAGAAGAAAATGGAAGAAGAGCTAAAGATGAAAAAGACAGGAATTCCAGATGATAGAAATCACAAGGAAGAAAACTCCAATATCTCCACTAGGGACAATAGGTGAAGGGAAAGCGCTGCAAGAATATAGAAGAGTGAGAGAGAATAAGACAGAGTAACTCAATTGAAAATGGTATGCCTGTTTTCTCTGTTTACTTCATGGATTTATTGCTGAGCAGCATGGACACTTGGGATTGATTAGATAAGTATCACTGAGACTCTTGTTTTGGAATGAGCACATCCACACATGGAATTATACCTGAATAGGTAATATTTCACTTTACATTTGCATTGTATCTCAATCCAAATTAATTTTTGAAGTTTAGAAAAACTTAACAAACTGTCATAAAATTATATTTGCATTTTAAGAGATCAGTAGAGGCACCAAACTGGACAGTGCTGGTATATGTGTTAAAGTTACAAAGGGACTGCTTTAGATTTCAAGTGACGTTGGTATAGGATGGGACATGCAGTGGTACTGGCCATAAACTCCTCTTTGGGGCTACAGTATATTTCCTCCTGGTCTTAATTCTGACTAGCTTGGAAGAAGGTCTTCAGAAACTCTTAAAAAGAGGCTGAGCAGCTTGAAGTGCTCCACAAAAGTAGGAAGGCGGCAGGCAAGTAATGATAGGGTCTGGGATCATGGGGGCATCTGGTGTATCTGGTAGGCCAGGAGCATTTAAGCCCCTCTCAGCCTGCACTGCTGACTCACAAGAGTATTTAGCCACAGGACCTGCCTTCCACACTTCTTTCCTGCAAGGGTACCTGGGACAGATAGCAGAAGTGAAAGTGACTTGAAGATCCTCATGATGACCTTGCCAAATAATCACCCTTCAAGAGGAAGCTGTGCTAAGTGCATGCAAACAGAAGGCAACAGCAAATCCTAGATAATGAATTAAATTCCCTACCAAAGATAGAGCCACTAACTCCATCTGCTTCCATCCTTTCACTTAACAGGCAGTTGTTCAGGCATGGACAATGGCTTGATCATGGCTTAGAATGACATCATTGGCTTAATGCATGCCTAGCACTGCAAGCAGCACATCAACCCCAACCAACACATACACTTAAAAGTAAAACTGTAGCAATAACCAAACTTTGCAAAGAACTGCCGGCAACATCCCAAATCAGCCTGAAATGCTTTCTGTTTCAGAGCATTTTCATGTATGAACTCAAGCCCTCCTTGCCTGCAGTCTTGGAGAGGGTTGCTCCCACAGTCACTTCCATTTGACCTTAGAGCATGATAGCATCAAAAAAGCTTATGTGAAGTGAGTGTTCTCAGCACTACATACCATCTGTCATAGACTGACCCAGGAACTTGGAGCCTTCTTCAGAGCTCTTCTCCCCTCCTTCTTCATCCGCCTGTTCTTCTTCCACCTTATTGTCATTCTCGGACCGATACACTATTATTGACTCCGGCCGGGACTCTTTCTTCTTCTTTTTCCTGCGGTCCATAGTGGCTTCCCCATCAAAGGTGACAGTGGTTGCCACAGCCCTTCTCATTGTGCCACAGCGAGGGCTCTGGCCTCCAGACTTGCTGTCTTTCTGCACAGTCTCCTCCATCCCGCTGCTGCTCTCAGTCACCTCACCTGGCATCTTGTAGCACGTGTTTCCAATCCAACTGGACCAATCCTGCACTTAGAAGTCATTGATTAACAATGGTCCCATGGATGCTTTGTTCTGGTAAGATGTCCCACTGCTGGTAGCCAAACTATGCACTCCATTCCCAGCCTAAAACAAGAGAGAAGGCTGAAAAAGTGTCTTTGTCTTACCAAGTAGAAAAAATGGCAGAATTTTCCTCAAAAGAGTTACTTCCAACTGGTTTAAATGTCATCTGAAGATCTCTATTACTGTCCTGAATATCAGTTCTGTTACATGGCTACATATTTTGTGCTATCTAATCTATCTTGATTCTTAGGGTCCAGTTTTCACTATAACAAACCAAAGCTACTGGAAAGAGTATTAACATTTATAAGAAGGGATTAAACAGCCAGCTTACTGGATGAATTTAACATTCCTCTGTAATGCTGGAAACAAACAGAAGACAATAGTTTTGGCCCAAGGCATCAGAATAAAGGACTGAAACCATAGATGAAAAAGAAGTTGACCAATTTAAGGGACTGGCCTAGAAACAACTGCAACAGGAACATTGTGCTTGTCCAGCATTACAACAGCTATATTGGTGCCAGCCCTTCTCATTTTGAACTTCTAATGATTTACTCCCCTCTGCAAGAATATTACAAAAATTAATCAAATTATGTCAAAAAGAGTGATGTTTCAAACTTTAACAATTTAGCAATATGTAGTGTTGCCATACTTTAAAAATACAGAATATACAGTGGATTTAAAGCAAAATTATTTTTAAGATGACTTTGCTGGAGAGGGAATTGGGAACCACAGCAAATTCTTCTGATTGCGCAGAGAAAACAACACAAGTGTTCACAAATTGTTTTAGCAAAAATAAATTTTTGCTTCTCATTCAAGCAAAGTTAACAGCGATATCAGGTGAAACTGTCATCAATGGGAAAGCTGCCTAAGTAAAAAACACATAATTAAACATGCATTGAGGCAGACAAATCCTGCTCCATGAATATGGAAAAAGGATTAATGGTTCTCAGATTTCATAACATTTAAGGAAACTGACTGTGCCAAGTATTCATGAATCATTTAGGTACAAATCTGAATACAATGAATAGCATTTTAACAACTCTGAAGAGCTCTGTTGAACATTTACATGAACATTTATATTTAAAAGAATGCAAATGACCAATAATTAAGCTTCTACCTAGTAACTGAGTCTTTCCTTTAACAGGAAACTAAGAAACACAAGTATCATAGTTTATAGGCTACATAATGCTGGGGAAATAGTTTTACTTGAATGGCTGACAGAAAAAAGTTAAGCATTTTTAAATTTGGCAGTATGGTCCTGGTCTTCCCACAGATCTAAGATTTTGCTGGTCTGTATTGAAATTCTGTGCAGAACTTTAGATCAACTATTTATGCCTGGTACACTCACACTTAAACACACCACACCCACACAAAACTTCTAATTGTGTCACTAACACCTAAGACTCTGCCCATTTGGCTCTATGGAGCCTTGAAGAATTCAACAATTCAGATTTTTTGTGCATTAAAGAAAATAAATCTTCCCTGGTGCTCAGAAGACACATAAAATGGACTTTAAAACCCCTCAAGATTCAGTATACCACAGAAGCCAGATTACTAAATTACTGGGCAGACAGTATTTTTAGTCCTGCAGCATGGCTGTTAAGAATCTGTTTAGATTGCCATCACACCTGCCATAAAATATGTCTAAACATTAGCAGACATACTGGAAAACAGAAATTCATGTAAGCTTTCATTTATTGGGTTTTTTTTTTCTTTTTGTTTTAATGCCTTTAGGGGTAAATGGAATTAATTTATACAATGGAGTAAACTCATCCTTTGTAGTAAATTAATTCAGGAAGTACAATAGACTCTAACATTTTTCTCTGAAAATCAGCTGTAAAACTTCATGTTTTGCATCTATATGACCTTGAAATTACCTGATTGAGCCTAATGAGTCCCTGAGACAACAGTGAGATTCTGCTTCCAAAAGTGAGGAAAACAGGCCTGGAAACAGAAACCAAAAGCATCACTTTTGGAATAATCTACTAAAAGTCTGGAGACACAGAAGTTGATTAGATTCCCAAAGTTCCTGGCTGTAGTTCCATGTTCAGTCCCTACTGACTTGAGAAGGGGATGACTTACAACTTTTAAAAATAACACAAATCTACAGGCAAATATTTGTAGTTGGGCTTTTTTTTTTTTTTTTTTTCCCTTAAAGTTGATCCAGCTGTGGCCTTGCTTAAACTCACAGTGGATGATAAGCTAATGTCAGTTCTCAGTGCGATGCCAAAGCCCAAAGGACTATGTCTGCCTTGTCTGTGAAGGGAGCAAGTGAATCTCTCATAAACAGGCACTGGCAATCTGTGTCCTGTTCTTGAGCTCACCACACACGCAGAACGCTGATTAATGACCAGAAGATACCCATGATCCCCAAGTTATTTTGCTGTGTCTGATGTTCCCACCCCACTACAGCAGCCACCGCCTCTGTGAGTTACCACCAGGACTAGAAACACCTCCACAGCAGGGTAATCTGAGAGTGGCAGCTCAATTTCTCCTCCTGCTGATAAAAGGAGAGGGAATGGGCAATGGGGGACAAGCCCTTAAGAAGCAGTGTTGCTGTGGCTGAGGCAAAGCCCTTGGGAAAAGAAAGTGAAGGAGCCCAGATTATTCTGTTTAAGGCACAAGAAGGTAAAATCTGATGTCAGTCTGTCTACATCAAAACCAAAAGCATGTAGGAGATCCTTATGACCCAGCAGAGGAGGATGCAGCAGGATAAAAAGCTGAAAGATGCAAATACAGGGCAGATGTTAGGTAGGTGTTTTAACAAAGTGGGTAGGTGTCCCTTGACATATCACTGGGTGATAAACTGTCATGGGAAACTTCCAAATCTGGACTGGCTGTCTTGGCAGAATTTTTGGTCACCTGTACTTGACCTGAAGAGGGAAAGTCCTCTGGTTTGCATTAAGGAGCAGTCAGATTGAAGATCATAAAGAACCCTCCTGATCTTATGCCTGTTCTCACAGTACATGTTTCTTTTTCTCTCATTGGTTTCCCAATGAAGAAGCTAGAATATCCCCTGCCAGCTGGTCCAGAACTTCTGAACACAGCACTTCAAAATATCACCATCAGCCCTAAATCCCACAGCAGTGCTGCTGAGTTAAACAGGTTCAAACCTCAGTCCCATTTTTCCTGGAAATATTTTCTCTGTAGCTGCAAAAAAGAAATGGGCTCTTGCAGAAATCACAGTAGTGTACAAAGAGCTTCATTTTCCGCTCTTCCTTTTCTTTACCACTTCTAAGAATAAGGCTGGCCCTCAGCACTACACAGCTGTCCACAGCACCAGTTCCTTCAGCCACACACCAAAACCTTCACCCTTTAAAAGCCTTGCTATGGAGCTGAAACATTAACAATTGCTGTGTATCTCATACTAGTGATGCCCCCCACGTGGGTGCACAGGGGCAGACAGGAATCTAGTAACTATCCATGGGAGGGAAGGAAAAGAAATGGTCATATTTCAGAGATAGCAAGGAACGGTTTATTAGCCAAACAATTTGTTATTAATCTCCATATGAAAACAGATGGAGAACCCTGGGGAGGCTGCTCTGTAAAAACACTTTGTAGAGTAATTTTTAGAAGCACAGTCTTCTGTTACTATGCAGGAAAGCTACGGCTGCTTATGTTTCCTGTGACAGTAATAGTCTTTGACACACAAAACAGGAGCCTAAAAGCTTGGCCTTGCACCATTTAGGTCAAAGGAAGCTTCTTCCATTGGTTTTCAGGGTTTGATCCTGCTGCTAACAGAAGAGAAATTATCTGGTTTGAATGCAGACTGGGAGGAAGAGCCTTCCTGCAAGCTAATAAAATCCTTGATCTTAAATCCCAGCTACAGCACAAGTTATCTTTTTATGACTGCTCAGAGTAGACATGAGAGGAAAAAATATAGACGGTAAGCAGCAAGGAGCATAAATTTTTATTTTTATAGTCACATAAAATGTACAACACATGAGAAGAACTGGCACGGCGTCTTCACTCACATCATGCAGGGGTTGTCTGCAGAAACAAAAAAACAACCTGTGCTTTAGAAGCACTGTGATTTATGCAGGATGGGGAAGAGATGAAGGGAAATGTACCCCAGAGACACACCTTGAGAAAGCTTCCCAGCCACAGATCTTCCTTTGCTTGCTGCTTTTACTCCATAACCTCTGCATCCCAAATCCCATCTCCACTCAACCCCTGCCTCTGATTTTGTGCCCGTGCATGTGTGTGGTTTTGAGCATGCATGTTACCCAAAGGATCTTTTCCAATCCCTAGTATTTTTAAAGGGGTTATCTGCTATAACTGCAGGGGCAAACTGTACACATGAAAAATAGGTGGTATTAGGTGCATCCAGCTGTACAGGACAGATCTGTCTGCCATCAGCCAATTGTTATGACGAAATGCATTGGTGTAACGCAGAACATGCAGCCCCCAGGCCCTAGAAAAACATGTGACAAGATGTATATAAGAAAGCAAATTGAATTCACACATGATGTAGGAAAAGGGCCAAATGATAGGGCTCTCTCCACAGCTTTGGATCTGTTTTAAATACCTAAATGACTCCACATTATCTTTCACATATGCATCCTCACCTGCTAAAACAGAGGATGTCTGTTTCCTCTTTATTTCATGGTGGGATAGATCAAACTAGATTGCACAATTGAAACTAGCAAATACTCAAGGCTGTGATGAATGACATATTAGACACTGAGGCAAGAACAGCTCCTCCCTATCAGTACCAGGTCTGTGCAGCTTGTAGTGAGCTTGACAGGGGGATTTATCTCACTGAAAGGAATAAAATGGTATTTTTAGCCATACAGATTCTTCACCAAGCAGCTCCTTCTACAGGAAGGAATGTCTAAGGAAGGAGGGAAAAACTTCCCCTCCTGGCAGTGGCTGATTTCAGACTGCATTAAGTGTCTGTATAACAACAGCAACAAACACAAAGGAAAACATCTACCTCTGCCACCCCAGCATGGTAAAAGAAAGCAAACACCAAAGTTCAAAGTTCACACCCATCTTTCCCTCCCTGCTTAATCCACAGGCTTCCAAGCAGTTTCATTTCTTGGAAAGAGAAACAAGTAAAA